CTCACTTGGTAGCCCAGGCTGGCCTTGAACTCACAGAGATCCGCCTGGCTCTGCCTCCCGAGTGCTGGGATTAAAGGCGTGCGCCACCACTGCCCGGCTGAAGTCCATATTCTTTTAAAAGTATGTCTTCTCTTTCAGCGGAGTGAGGGAAGGTTATCTTGGCATGATTGTATGTGTGGCCAGAAGAGGGTGTTGAATCCCCTGGGGCAGGAATTACAGAGGGCTATAAGCTGCTTGGTAAAAGTGCTGGGAATTGAACTCAGGTCCTCTGGAAAAATAAGTACTCTTAACTGCTGAGCCATTTCTCCAGCCCCTTGAATTCTTTAGACAGGATCACCCTTTGTAGCCCAGGCTGTCCCCCAGCCTCCATCTTGTGCTCCCCCTGCCTCCCAAGTACCTTGTCACTCTGAATTCAACACTAAAGCCAAGTCAAATTATGAGACACTTTTTTTCTCTTTCTCTTCTCTTGATATAGGGGTGAAAGGAGATAAAATACCAGGCTGTTTCTTACCATCATCAATAATGTATGTGATTTACAACTTTGTTATTACTAAGGCTGTTACAGAATAGATGCTACTGATCACAGCTATCCAAACCTTAACACTTGTGAAAGTAACGTATTTACAGAGAGGATTATATCAGAAGTAGCACATGATTCTGTAAGAACTCTGTTAAAGCAGGCATCATTTTACTTGTTGACTTAGGCAAAGTCTGCAAGCAAAGTACATGAAATTATGTCCCCAAAACGTCTGAACTCAGATTTGTACAACAGAAGAGTCCTTGCAAACATCCTGTTTCTAGTTGTGAAAGGGCTTGTTCACATTACCCTCTGTGATGTCTGCTGAGCAGACTGTTGGTGTTTGAAGGATGTTTTATGAAATATTAAAATCCCAGTGCCTTAAAACTATATACCTTACCACATTTCCTGCAGATTAGGTAGCAGTTTGTCTGTCCTTTTATTTCTAATGGATAATGGGTAATTTTTTAAAGAGTTTGACTTAAAATGGAAATCTGTGTATAATACAATAATTTTTCTAAATCTAGTCTCTGTAGAAGCTGATATCCATCACCATCCTTCAAAATGCAGTGGAATGTACCACGGACTATGTCTCGGCTGACACTCAGGACATTCTCAGAACCACAGAAAGCCAGGCTCTTTGAACACCACCGGAGCATAAAAGAACCGTTACTTTGGCGTAGAGGTGAATGCAGAGTGGTTTGGACACCACACCTTCGAAAGCAGTGGCTTCATTTACCTGCTGTTCAGTGCCTTGCAACGCAAAGGAATCTATTAGATGCTCAGCCACCCCAACTAGGAGTCCTTCGCCAGGAACGATGGGAGCAGGATATTTTATCCAAGAGGGTTTTATCTTCCAGTGCCACATCCCGAGACTCTCCATCCGAAAAAAAGGAAGAGCAAGATCCTTTACAAGACAAGTCTATTAGTCTTTATCAACGATTTAAGAAAACCTTTAGACAATATGGAAAAGTTTTAATTCCTGTGCATCTAATAACTTCCGGTATTTGGTTTGGAACATTTTACTATGCAGCTATAAAGTAAGTCTTGGCTTAGTTGACTGCCTTCTCACGTTTTATCACAATGTTAGTCTTCTTGTTTATACTGATAGCCTTAAATAGTTTTGATTTTATTACCTGTATGTGTGTATGTGTGTGGCCAAGCACGTGGAGGGCAGAGGACAACTTGTGGGACTCAGTTCTCTCCTTCCGCCTTGTATGCCCAGGATTGAGCTATGTCAGGATGCAGGCAGGCACCTGTACCCACCAAACCATCTTGCTGGCCCTTCATTTTTTTTTTTAAAGATTTATTTTGCTTCTGATATGCACATGTGTCTGTGTTGGGGGTATGTACATGTGAATGCAGGTGCCCACAGAGGCCAGAGGCATCAGATTCCTCTAGAGCTGGAGTTAGAGGTGGTTGTGAGCTGCCCTATGGAGGTGCTGGGAACCAAACTCTGGTCCTGTGCAAAAAGAGCATCCACTCTTAACCACTGAGCTCTCTTTCCAGCCCTCCTTCCTCTCATGCCTTCATTGATAGAGGAAAACTACTTTTTGTAGCTATCTTCACACTTAATGAGAATATCTAACATTTTGTTTATGGGTACAGTGTTTTGATCCGTTTTTAACTGCCATCTTCATTCACTCCTTCAACAACCAAGTACAGTAAGTGGTTTGGTTCTTCCCATTTATGAATGTGGAAAGTTTGGATGAGGGGAAATAATTCAGCTAATGAGAGGTGGAACTGAGTAGGTTTGTCTCTCTTTGAGCTGTCTCCTGGTCTCATTGCTGACGGCTGTGCATGTTTAGGAGGACTCAGAAGTAAGGTCACCGTGGTTGTTTTGTTACGTTCATTTATCGTCAGATGGATGGGAGTTCAGAAGGTAACTTGCAGGAGTCACTTCTCTCCTTCCACCATGTGGGTCCCAGGTTGAACTCAGGCCAGCAGGCTGAGCAGTGAGCACCGTAACCCACTGAGCCATCTTACCAGCCCACAGAATCATGAGTTCTATACTTACATGTTTCTATGGTGTTTCTATATGCGAAAAGCTACTCGTTTTGGTGGGTGAATGGCATTGGTGGAAATTTGACAGGCTATCTTTTGCCAGAGCCTAGCTAACCTGAACTCATGGCAGGCTGAGACTGATTGTTCACTCTGATTAATAGCATGGTAAGACATTTTGTTCTGATCAGAAGTGAGATTGGTAGGCCTGCCCTCTGGTGTTGAATATAAAGTGTTGAAATGCATCCTTTTTGTTGCAGTTCCCGCCTTTTAAGGTAAGGTGTATTATCACTCTGTTGGAAGCGGGGGAACCCTGCAGTTCTGCCCTCAAGGGCCACATGCCTGGGCCTGAGGGTGGCCTAAGCATGGGAAGGAGACACTTGCTGACTCTTTCAAAGTCCACTGATTTTTAATGCCTGGTTGTGTTTAATGGCTTGGTGATATGGCATTAACAAAATATAACAGTTGTGTTTGGCAGAAAAGCTGATGAGCCTGCTAAATGGAAAATACTGTTACCAGAGTTTTTAGGGTCAAATTCTGGGCCTAGACTTAGCCCCCTTTAATACTCTACTTTAAAAGACAAGTAATGGTGAAAAGCAGAGAAAGCTGGTTGATTCACTGACCAGCATGGGTCCTGTTACCACTAGCCACAAACACAGACCTGAGTCCACCTTTGTGGTACTGATGTGAGGTTTAGGTTTAAATAGAAGACAAGAGGTAGGTATAACTACTCAGTCCTGGTCAAAGTGTGGTCACAATACATCACTTTCCGCCATTGTCTTGGCTCACATCTGTTCATTAAGTCAACAAGCCCTCCACCCACTTTTGGCTGGCCTCCGGGGCTCTAGCATTTTCCTCTTAGCAGATGACCCCTGAGGCAGTTCCAGTCCTTGGGGACCACTGTCTCTGCAGATAGCTGACTGCAGAAGGACAAGTGTCTCCCTTTAGATAATCTTCTCTCCTGCCAGGATAGCTACAGTAGCTTCCCAAGATGGCAGGAAATGGGGTGCTCTTCTTGGGGAACATGGGGTTTGGGTGTTCTTCACTGCAGTTCTAGAGGAACAGGTTTTATGTAATTGATGATGTTCTGTTTCTTTGCATTATATTGTTTGTTAAAGACACTTTCTATACATGTTGAATATTTGTAGAAGTCCTCAGAACTGCCCTATTTGTTGACAGAAGGTATTCCGTTCTGACGGCCATTTAGTCCTGCCATCTGGTATGTGGCTTTGGACATACTACATTTTCTTTCTGGAGCTGCTTGAGGAATCTTGTGGTTCAGTATTGTCAAAGGTCATGTCTTCTCCCAGTTTCTGGTCTTGGGGGAAACCTAGTCTTTAGTTAACTGAACATGAAGTTTGTGTTTGGCCTATTGTTCTTTGTCAATAATAACTCAGGAGTCAGCTATCCAGTAAGAACCTGAATGATGAGAGAAGCAGGAGAAGCAACCAGTGATCTCCTCTCTCTCTCCTTCCTCCCTCCGAAAGGGCTGAGATCCTCTCTCAGTGCTGCCTTACTATTTCCTGTCTCCTATCTGTCCTCAGTCCTCCAAAACCTCTGTGGTTCATTTTGGTCAGCTAGTGGCTAGCTCCACCTTCTGACTCCAAGCAAGCTTTATTGTCAGAATACGATCAAAATATCACATAACAGCCTATTAAAAAGAATTTCTTCCTTTTACTTCTCCTTGCTTTTTTGATAAACAAATTATGTTATTGAAAAAGTAGACCCTAAATATTTTGGAGATACTAGCTGTATTCTAGATTTCTTTAGTTCACCTAAAGCAGCAGGGGTAATTCTGTCAATCCCCTGTAAGATACCTGACCTTGTCTTTCCTCTTTTTCTGTAAAATGCTGTGTCAGAATACAGAAGTGAGACTGCCTGATTTAAAATCACACACCTTGGGCATCACAGCTTGCCCCGGGGCTGTTGGTCAACATGGACTCTGATAGCCAGAGCTACCACCTACTGCCCAGCATGACAGCTTCTCCTAATGGGTGCAGATTATACATGATTGAAAGTTCACATATTTGAGTGGATGACTTAACCACAAGTAATATACTTAGAAAATCCTGTCTACAGAAGAAAACAAATTGGTATGTGTTCCAATGGGAATGGTTTATTGTCAGGTTGAAGTCGGGTGTATTAAGCTTCAGTTTTCCATCCAGCTAACAAAACCATTGTAGTTCTTTTTATTTTGTCCTAACTGGAAAACACTCTTTCCTTGTTGGTTGCCTACTTACTGTTAAAAAAAAAAAAAAAAAAAAAAAGGCAGGGAGAAAGAACTGTTTCTGGAAGGATGGACATTGGCATCAGTGTTGTATTTCTGACCTGATTGTCTTAGTTACTCCCACAACCTGAAAGTAAAATATCATTCTGTATTTAGCTAAGTGGCAATGTTCCAGAGCTCTTAATGTATTTATTTCAGACAGAGCTAAAGTATGCAAATGGGTATGCTTTATACTGAGCTTCCTGACTGCTACTGTCTGGAAAAGGTGGGATAGATCTATGTTCTCTAAACATAAGTATTCTGTGTAGTCACATACAGCTCAATAACAACTATGTTGTCCCTGCCTTCAGATTCTGTGTGTCCATAGACTCGGGTTCCTAATCACACAGATGCCCTCTCAGCCACAGCTCTGCTGGTGCTTACTGTACTTCCTCTAGATAGTGAATATTCTTTAGGCCTTGTTGAGCTGTCCATAAACTGACAATTAGTAAGCACACATTCCTGCCAGGCCAGAAAGTGGCAAACATTGGATCTTCTGGTTTGATTCAGATTCTTATCTTTATGATAAATGTTTTCTTCTTCATTTTCTTATTTGGTCAGATTTTGTCTTTACTTATTGTTGGTGTTAACTGTACAGATTTTGTATGCTGGGTTTAGTTGGAAGTAGGAAATTATAAAATAATTTCATAATCATCTTTGTGCTGGAAGATTAAGCTAGGTTGTTATGATAGGATATTACTTTAAAGAATTAATCCATTAAAAGGCCAAGTCTAATACTGGGCCTTACTTTAATAGGATTTTATTGTTGTCTTAAAAGGAAATTGACTGTACAGATAAATGGTAGTATATTGAGCTCCTGGTTGATTTTGAAATTTACCTTTTTAAGATAGTTCTTTCTGCCATTCTGATGTCTTATTTTTGATGCCAGCTAGTCCTCCTGGGTAATGATTAGCAGTGTCTACTTAGACTACTCCCAGGTGGCTTAGTGTCATAGAGAAGTCACCTTTTCCCCTGTTAGCTCAATTACTTTTGTATTAAAAATAAATTAATAGCACACAACTGTCTTAGTATGTCCAGGCAGTTCCCTTTCTTAATGACAAAGGAAAGAGACAGTTATAAGGGAGCAACCTGAGGACCCTGCCTTTGTTAAAAGGCACCCTTTGAATTGCCAGGAATGGGACAAGGGAGAGAAAGGGATGCTATAAATTGCTGTCATATGCTAAACGAGACATAGCTCAACCTGCAAGGCTTCCCTGTAGGACAGTATTTAACCTGAATTTCCTCATGAGAAAACAATCCCACTCTCAGATGGCATGCTTGCTATCTGGATATCTAAAAGTCCCCATGCCTTCTGCCCAGAGGCTCTCACAGTCACCTCCAGGGAAGAAGAGACTGCAAAGAGGAGAGGCCGAGAGTATACTGGGGCAATTTTTTAAATTACAGATTTTATGTTAATAAACTTTTTCGTATTAACCATTGTAAACAGAGGCTTTTCTCTGTCTTGCCCTGTACCGAGGCCGCTTGTAAATAATCACTCAGAGGCTTGAAATTAATAACAAACCATTTTGCCTATTGCTCAGGCTTATCACTAACTAGCTCTTACAACTTAAATTAACCCATTTCTATTAATCTATATTTTGCCTTGTGGCCATGGCGTTAGGTCTGCTGGCATCTTGTTCCTTGAGTGGCTGGATGGCGTCTCCCCAACTCCACCCTTCTTCTCCCTGGATCTCTGCTTGGATTTCCTGCCTGGCTCTTCTCCTGCCTTGCCATAGGCCAAAGCAGTTTTATTTATTAACCAGTGGGAGCAACACATATTCAAAGCATACAGAAAGATATCCCACACGAACCATATACTATTATGTGCATTAAATTTCCTGAATGTTATAATTACAAGTTTGTGTGGATGATTCCTCGTCCTGATACAGAGATACAGAATTACAATCAGGAAAGATTAGAACGATGTGGTATAATAAAATGAGGAAACTAAAATTACAGAAGTCAGGGCTTACCAGCTTGGGGGATTTTCTCCCTTTTCTCCATCCAAGAATCTGTTGCAATTTATTGTAATTATTCCTTATTATTAAAGAATAATTACTATTACAGATATTCCTTATCTGATAATAAGCATAAAGGCTTGCTTTTAGAATAGTTGGCTTTGTCCAACCCACAGAATCCTTCATTCATTTGATAATAATAATTCATTTGATAATTGGTAGAGTTCTAAAGGTAAGAATTTAAGATCCTGAAATGTGAGTTGCAGTGTGTTCTGGGTGAGGGGATGAACGTCAAGTGAACAGTTCTGACCGCTCTTCTGTTAGTTCAAGCCAGTACTTTGGCTATAATCAAAGTACTGCTCTTTTTTTATTTTGTTTTGTTTTTTTGTTTTTTTTTGTTTTTCTGAGATAGGGTTTCTCTGTGTAGCTTTGCACCTTTCCCAGAACTCACTCTGTAGACCAGGCTGGCCTCGAACTCACAGAGATCCGCCTGGCTCTGCCTCCCGAGTGCTGGGATTAAAGGCATGCGCCACCACCGCCCGGCCAAAGTACTGCTTTTTAAGTAGACTCACTGAATGGCCGTGCGAGCCGAAGGATGACAGTACGACTTTTGTATTGAACTTCAGGAAAGGGTCGAGAGAAATGAAAGCAGGCAATACAGAATCAGCTGCTAAACGTTCCCTCTTTTTGGTGGTGGTGGTTTGGGTTGGGTTTGTTACTGTTGTTTAGTTTACTGAGAAAGGGCCTCACTATGTAGCCCAGCCTGGCCTCCAATTCTTGAGCCTGCAGCTTTAGCCTCCTGAGCAAATAAAATTTAACGTATATTATGGCTAATTTGTAGTTTATGTTTTCAGATAATCTCCCTAAAGTGCTGTCCTTAAAGGGTTACTTATAGGTGACTAAATTTTTGTTTCTTTTTTAGAGGAGTGAATGTCATCCCTTTCCTAGAGATGTGTGGATTACCTGACAGTGTAGTGGACATCCTGAAAAACTCCCAAAGTGGGAATGCCCTGACAGCATATGCCATGTTTAAGGTGGGTTCCTTGCTTACTCGACAGAGTGCACACTCCTGTCAAACTCACATTGAGCTCTGAACTTTATATATAATTTAAATATCCTATTTCACATTTTGTATTTCTAATGAACAGCAAGTCCAAGAGTAAAACTATGGCTTTAGGGAGAAGTGCCTTAAAAACAGGTAAGCCTAACTTGTTACTGAAATCTAGCATTTGTTTTATTGCTTATAATAGTTCACCCTTCCTTAGCAAATGAGATTGCAAAGGGTTAATCCAAATTGTTCTGTGTGACACACGTCAGGCTTAGTTCTTAGGTATCTTGTTGTAGAGAGTCTTAACTTCTTAGAATATGTAGACACAGTGTTGCCTTTCTATGAACCTGAATATCTTTATTGTAGAAGGGAAGTCTCATTGTAAATCATAGAATTTAGCTATATTAATCTCATTTTTCATTTGAAACTACAAGATTCTATGATTTCTATATCCAAATAAAATGAAAATGTTGGGGAAGTAGGTGTTACTATGTTGTATAAAGTACATAGCATAATGATTTACAATATTATTCAGAAGTAATATTTTTCCTGTCATCTTTACTAGAATCATCTGAGAGCTCAATTTTTCTCAAAGCTTAATTGCTCTGTTTTTCTCACATTAAATTCAGTGTTTTATAGCTATGGGAGGTTAAATTTAACCATAATGTAGCAGAGTACATGATGGCAGTTGAAGTCATTTTTTTTCTCCTCCTTTCTTCATAGCATCTGACTTAATTGTGTTTTCTTTATGTGCTTATGAACTCCCAGGAATTCGGGGGCCTATTTTGGTTTTTTTGCTCTCTGGTATACTTTTAGGTGCATTAGTGCTTAGCACATTTGGAAAGCTACAAACCCTGTGGATTTCTCCCCGTCATGTCCCTCTGTAGGGTGAGAAATAGAGTATGTCCTGTGTTTTCTGTAACCCACAGTACCTCAAGTAGAACAGCAGAGATGCCTTCTTCCTTAAGGCAAAGCTCCAAAGTGAGGTATGCTAGACATAAAGAGAGAGTGCTGGGCCGCTAGCTGGGTACACATCGGAGCTCCCTCAAATGCCCTTTAACATGCACTATAGCTTACTAATATTTATCTAGCTCTGACTCAAGAAAACACTGTCAGGCCAGATATGGAGGAGCACACCTTTAGTTCCTGCACTTGGGAGACAGGAAGCAGCTCTCAGAGTTCAGTGCCAACCTGGTCTACATGATACATTCTGAGACAGTGAAACCCTTTCTTAAAAAAAAGAAAAAAAGGGAGAGAAGAAAATGAAACACTAAGTACCTCCCATGTAGAGCATGTAGTCTAGGGAGTATGAGTGGGCAGGTCATGAGCAATTGGAGAGACAGAAAAGGAAGGGTTGAAAATACTCAAGTGTGCTTGCGTGCGTGCGTGCGTGCGTGCGTGCGTGCGTGTATTTATACTAAATGTTACTGAACATTAAGAAAAAAGAGGCCGGGTGGTAGTGGCAATCCCAGCACTTGGGAGGCAGAGCCAGATGGATCTCTGTGAGTTCGAGGCCAGCCTTGTCTACAACACAAGATCCAGGACAGGCACCAAAACTATACAGAGAAACCTTGTTTCAAAAAAACCAGGAAAAAAAAAGAATATATACTGGGCAGTGGTGGCACACACCTTAAATCCCAGCACTCAGGAGGCAGAGGCAGGTGGATCACTATTGGTGAAATTATTAAGGCCACTCCACATTGTTAAAAGGAAGATTTATTTAGTGGGTGACTTACAAATGAAGGAATAGGTAGATCGCGGGGGTCTGGGGAAGGTGTATCACAGTCCAGCGGTGTTCTCTGGAGCTCTGCTCAGTCAACCTCCACCGTCTCAGGTCCAGGAACAGAGAGAGTGCTTGCCCATCCAGGTCTCGGGTCTCCAGACGCCTCCCTTGACCCCGCCTCGTAGGCATGACAGTTGCCAGAGTCTCAATGGGGGTTGGAACTTCCAGATCCAAGCTGGAATGGCTACCCACTACAGATCACTGTGAGTTTGAGGCCAGCCTGGTCTACAGAATGAGTTCCAGGACAGCCAGGACTGTTAAACAGAGAAACCTGTCTCAGGAGGAGGAGAAGGAGAATATAGCTAAGAGCACTTGAATGCATAATACACGTGTAGGCAAAACACACATGCACAGAAAATAAATATTTAAAAATATTTTAAGAAAGAATAAACCAGATAAGGAGGTGTCTTGGTGTGTGTTAGTTTGTTTTTCCCATCCCCACACCCCAGGTCCTCCCAGATTGCAGATTTAGGTGGGAGGTGCTCTGAGCAGTTAACAGATTGATCTGGTATCTCTGGGAGCTGGGGAGAGGGGGTGAGGGGGTTGGTCCCAGCAAAGGAAACCTTGAGGACTGCTGGATGCTAGAGGGCTAGCTAGGAATCATTGTGACTGGAATGAGCAAGAGAGGCAGACATCTTGCCAGATCAGGAGCCTGTGTGCTACAGGGCAGGAAATTATAGGGTAACTTTAAGCATGTGACGTCAAACCACTGCACCTCTGTAGTGACAATAGTTCTCATTAAGGCCAAGCCATCTGGATGAGGCTGGCTGTTGCAGGAGCCTAGATTGCATGTCCTCATGTTCACACCCTAGTGGTGTCCGGAAAGGCAGTCAGAAACAATTGGGTAGTGGACATGTTTGAAAGAAACTAATGGGCTTTCCTAGTGGTGTGCATACACATTATATTAAAGAAACAGATTAAGAGCTACTCATTTTGGCCTGAGTAGCTGGAAGAACAAAGTTACCATTTCCTGTGGTGAGTAAAATTTTGGAAGAAGCAGGTCTGACTGGGGCAGTAGAGGTCAGTAAGTTTGTGCATGTTAATTTTTAAAATGGAGTCAGAAGTGCGAGTGCAAATGATTTAGGTAGTTAGCTGTACGTGTATTTGAATTCAGGGAAGGGGTGCAGTATGGAGCTATAGATTAAGAATTCTTAATATATAGATGACAACAAAAGTATGAACCTGGACAGGCCATCAGGAGTGAGAAAGTGAAGAGTCTACAGACCTTGTTGAAACGCTAGAGTGAAGTGACCAGTGCACCTGAGAAAGGCCGGGTGGGGGGTAGTCCTGGCTCCAAGTGCCTGGGAATCATCTTAGAGTGGCCCAGGCCGTTCACAGCTAATGGTGGGTGTTGTTCCCAGAAGCCATTAAAACTGACGCGAGCAGGGCGGTGGGGCGAGCGGGTCGGTGGGACACGGGAACAACGGGGAGAAGAATGGGGAGCATAGGTGGTACTTTCCAAATGTTGCTATGTAATATGCCTGCTCGAGCTCCCGGGACCATGTGGCCATTTGTTTTACAAAGCCGTTCCACTGCTTCGGGCCTCTTGGCTTTTGTCCTTACTTTTCTGGTCAAAACAAAGAAGGGTTGCCAGTGGCCTTGGGAGACATCAGCTCCCGACCCTGTGGTGAGATGGCAGCGCTCCTGCAGGAAGAGTTAAAGGAGGCGATTTGAGAGTGGAGTGAAAGTGAGACCAGCAAGGAAGAGTCTGACTCTTGCTCAGCCTCCTGCTAGTTCAGCTGCAGATGGGCAGTGCAGGGCGGAGGCTGAGGGCTCAGAAACATGCCCTCTTTCTGCCCTGTGCGCAGACCTGCGCCCATGCTCTTAGCATTCCTTAGGGTCTGAGTGCAGCTGTCTGTGATAACCCTGAAATCTCCATTTTAAAATAAGTCTGCAGAATTGTTAGAAAGACAAACAATAGAGAGTATTATATACTCACCTTCCCAAACCGAATAGTGTATGCTGATTATTACCAGAATTTTCAATTCCAACTTAATTTTGTTTATAGTCATAACCAGATGTTGATCTGCCTGTTTGCTTTTTTTCCTTCCCTTAAGATTGCGACACCTGCCCGCTACACTGTGACCTTGGGAGGAACATCCTTTACTGTGAAGTATTTGCGAAGTCATGGTTACATGTCAACTCCACCACCTGTCAAGGAGTATTTGCAGGACAGAATGGAAGAGACTAAGGAGCTCATCACAGAGAAAATGGAGGAGACAAAGGACAGACTCACTGAAAAATTACAAGAAACCAAAGAAAAAGTTTCTTTTAAGAAAAAAGTGGAATAAGGGTGCCTTATGTAAGATGTTAGAGAAAACCCCACTCTTTAACCCTCTGGAGACTCTGGGCAAAGAAAGTGTTCTGAATTTTTTTTTTTCTTCTTTGGTTACTTGCCTAAATGTATCAGTCCTCTGAGGGTTAAAGAACAGAGATAGTTTTTTGGCTTTGTTTTTAAGATAAATAACATTAGGGAAAAAAATCAATGTTTTTCAAAATGAAATGAACCCAGCATACAAATTGTATATGAGTTGCAGCAGTAAGCAGTAGTTAACGTCCTGGAAGTCAGAGTTCTTTTTCCATATCCTCAGAATCAAATTTGCTTCCTGGTCTCTGACCCCTGCAGTGTGTGTGCTGGGCATTCTACGCCCAGAGTCCAAAGCAGTAAGTTCTGTGGGGATGAACATCTACCGTTCCGACCAGAGAAGGTACCTACCGGCTAACAGGTAGATCTTATTTCAAGAAGGCTATCTAAATCCAGTCTTATGTTTATAAGATATATTGGTTATGTGATGAAATGGACCCTTGTAAAATGGTTTTTAACTGGAGCTTGTCAAAATCACATTTTTAAAGCAAATTCTTTTTCAAACTTGACTATGCATGGTGGTTGGACACTTGGGACTGTCAGACTTTCTTGTAATTCACTTCTGTCTTCTCCAGCTAATCTTTGGAGGAAAGTAAAAGTTTTTTTTATAAACTTTATTATTGACATCACATACATGAGCAACTCAAGTTCACTCTTCTTAACTACATCAAGTTTTGAAAGACCACTGCTGACTTTGTAAGGAGCAAGTCTGTAACTGCCTGTGCTCGAGAATGGAGGCTCCTGGTGGGGCACGATGGGGGAGAATGGAGAACAGGTGGGCAGTGCACCCATGTGGTTCATCTCAGATCTCTCCCATACTTAAAACCCTTGTGGGATTCTTGGTCCTTATATCCCTGGTCAAAACAAAAGAGGCCTGTCTGTCATGGTCTCAGTTGAATTGTGGTTAATGTTTCTCATATTGGAAGGGACAATTCCTGCTTAAATATTCTGCTGACTGTGTATAGCTCGTAATGACATCTCATTGTGGCTGTCAGGCAAGTCCCTTGTCTGTAGACTGTCTCTGTTGGTGTGGGAGTGCCTGTGTGTCATTTTGCACTCTCGGCTTTCCTTCAGGTCTAACCCTTGGGGTGACACTGGAGCAAGAAATGGCCTTTGTAGGGGCATTGGTTTTGATTTGCCATCAGGAGAATGTCAGAGACCTTGCCACATAGCTATCCCATTCAGTCCCTGCTTCCTGACAGGATTTACGTCAAATGCTTCATTTGCCCAGATTTAGAGAATGAGGGGATAACATCACATTTGAGATACCCAGTCACTGTCTGGAAGCACTGTAAGTGAGAATGCTGTGGTTGGAAGCATTAGAGAGGGGGATTTGTCATGGGCCTCTGTTCTTTTGTTCCTTGGCAGGTGATTAATCTGAGGCAGAGTTCAGTGCACTGCTAGAAATTGATGGCACACTTTCAAGTATAAACATGACAGCAACACACTTTAGCATGCTTTTAAACAGTAAAATACTAAATGCTGATGTAGTAACATTTCCCCCCTTTTAAACAACCAAGAATGCCATGCTAAAATGTAGTAATATATAGAATTCTTTCTCCTAAAACCTTTTACCTGTCCTGGTGCGTAGGGCATATATATCATCTAGTGGAGGTAATCTGAGACTCTCAGGACATTTCTAATAATCATGAGACTGCAACTTTCTTGTCCTGCATAGATATCTTCTGCCTAGTCCATTGGAGTCTTATCACTATTCAGTTTTATGTCTGGGTTGTGTCTCCCAATTATAGCAAATGAGGAGCTGCTTGTATGTGCTTTTAAATCCAATGAAAAAGTCTCTAAAGATTTGAGAAGTTACATTATTACTACTTGGCATCAGAGATGTCATACAAATGCTGTTGCCGATATTATCCTTAAAGCAACCCACAAACAACTTATGGGGGAGCCTGCAGTGTGTTGATAGCAGACAACGGTAACATGTCACCTTAAATTATCACATTGTATAATATAGATTTTATATATGCTGAATTGCATTTTATTTACAGCAAATCTTGCATTTCTCTTAGCTGCAAGGGAAACCAGGAAGCTCCATGTCTGGGATGCACATTTATCCTTTTGAAAGATATGTTAATGTCATGAATGAAGCTGTGACTGAGATTGATTTATTTTTTTTTTTTTTTTTTTTTTTTTTTTTTTTTTTTTTTTTTTTTTTTTTTTGGAGGGTTTCTCTGTGTAGCTTTGCGCCTTTCCTGGAACTCACTTGGTAGCCCAGGCTGGCCTCGAACTCACAAAGATCCGCCTGCCTCTGCCTCCCGAGTGCTGGGATTAAAGGCGTGCGCCACCAACGCCCGGCCAAGATTGATTTATTTTTAATGGACAGAAAACATTTGCCTAGCACATGAACAAGTTCAAATGAAAATGGATCAGGTAAGAGGCTTGGTTTGTTAAAGAATAAGAGTAAAACCAGCCTTTCAAAATACCACATCATTGAGAGCCTTTTGTGCAAAATGGGGTGCTGTTTGGATTTCACTGAAGGGAAGAGAAGTATGTGTATATTAAGATTAGCTTTCTCCCCAAAGTGAAATAATAAAACAAAGACTTCAAATATTCCCGAGTTTTCCATTGTAAATCCGCCTCCATCTTCTGAATTCTTTATGCTCGTGGTGAGCTGGAGCTGGGCAGTTGTCTTGTTTCTGGGGTCTTAGACCACAGTTCTGGGAATCTTGAGCATCTTTATAGTGTGGGCAGAAGAGGTGTTTGAAGAAAATGAAGCTGTATTTTAGACACAGTGAGCTTTTTTTAAATGCCTTTTGCACTGGGTTCAAGTCTTTAGGATTTCATAACTGCTTCAAATGTAAACGGAACTATTGTAGATGGTACTAGTGAGGATGGGCAGGAGGTGAATTTAGCAAGTGAGGCAGGGGAAAATGAGTTCATCTTTCTGAGTTCTTTTTGAAATCGAGATTTTTGCAGTATACACACATATTTTTTAATTATTAAAGGGCTCCTAAAATGAGGTTGTTGTAGAATTAGAGGAATAATTTTCTTGGTAGCTACAGTTCATTTTCTGAAATATTGTTTCAGATTTCCAAAACTGAGTCTCCATAAGACCTAAAATAAGGTAAATTTAAATGTTCCAAAGTTCTTTCTGCCCTATTTAAGTGCCCTTCTTGCATGCCACTTACTTGTTGGCATTAAGAGCTCACTATTTAATCGACTTTAGCAAGGACATGATGTCAGAATCATCCAGGCATTGACCCCTTGCCTGATTAGCGCATGAGCATGTGTCGAGGGATATGTGGGTCCCTGAACTGGAAATTTGCAGAACGGGTGTGAGGAAGGCAGTAAGGAGGGTGTCCCTCCTCATTCTTCAAGTAGTAACTGTGCTTGCTCTCCACTGGCCCACGTGTGTGTTATTTGCCAGTTTTGTATTAAGTGGAGTTTCCATGAGCAAAGGAAGGAAGGAGAGAAAGAAAGAAAAGAGAAAGAAGTTCTATATCCAAAGGACAGCAGAGTCTAGACCTCATCTTCCTGATGGTTGGAATGGTCTAAGGACCACTCCTTTCCCAGAATGTCTCTTTTGCCATGAACTTTGGCATGGCCTTCTTAAGAGAACTTTCTCTTGTACTCTGAGCTTCTCACAGTTAAATGCTAAGTTAGGCTCACTGGATTGATTTTCCTTCTGAGATTTTTTTTTTCCCTTTGTGACTTCTATGTCCTGTGTTCATCCTAACTAGTCAAAACAAGTTTGTGATTGTCCTACATCTCCAGGATTGAGTTTTGAAAATTAAGGTGTATTCTTCCCTATACATCACTGATAGTTGCTAACAGTAATTACAGATCCTAATCATCCTGTGGCAGTTATTCGGTTATTTTGATAAGAATGATCGTCATAGTAGGAAGAATGCATCCTGAGTTTAGAACCCTTGAGGGCAGAGCGGGATATGGTTTGTTCTGAGGATTGGCTTAAATGGCCCCGATGGGATCAAGCTCAGAATCTGGCTTCTTACAGAGTGAGCTATGGGGAAGTGCATCATGCTGTTTTCTCTGGGAAATCAGTCTAAAGAACAAACCTTGGGTGGTGAGAAACACGACTCCCTGCCACAATATGCTTCCTGCGTCTTGATTTTCCTGAAAAGATTAGCTGGAAACTTTCCTTCTGTCCACCTTCCTGCATCTTGATTTTCCTGAAAAGATTAGCTGGAAACTTTCCTTCTGTCCACCTTCCATTGTCAGCCTTTTCTGTCTTGAATTTTGACTAATTTAAATGTTAGCAAAAAATCACTGATAGGAGCAGGACCACCCCGTGTGCAGGGAATGTGCTCAGTGCAAGTGTGCCCTGCAGGTCAGTGTGCACAGCAGCACAGCGTTCTTACAGGGACCTGAAGCTTCCAGGAGCCATTGGCTGGACCCACCATCTTCTAGAGCAACAGCATTGAAACCCAACTTCATCCTGTTTGTTTCAGTAAGATAAAATTGCCTCTGTTTTAATCCATCCATGCACATAGTAAAAGGCACTTTCTGCCATATTTTAACAATTCCATAAAGATGCTACACAAAATAATGGCAATTCTATATCGTCCTTTTCCAGTTAAATGTTAACTCTCAATCCTGGATTGATTTTAGGAAGGGCAACAGTGTGTTTATATGAACATGGTTTCGGGTATTGCCTTGTTTGCACCTCTGAGTGCTAGATTGGAGATTCTGTAACAGCGTATTTTTACTTATTTGAATTCATACTTTAGGATTCTTACTGTGGTATCCAAGTTGTTGCTTTATTTCTCATACAATGGGTCCTGGGTGTCCTTACCTGCTTAGTATTTGGCCACAGCAGTGTAGTTATAGGACTCTGTTCCCCGGGACCTCAGGCAACATGTACGTTCTGTTTCCTTGGTGAAGCAGAGGCAGGTTATGGGAGACAGACAGCTTGTGTATTCTGTACTTCTTTTGACCAGTGACAAACAGGTGTACTTTGCCCCAAAGTAAAAAATACTGTCAAGTATGTCCATAAAATCTAATGCAGTTTTTCTTGAGCAAGCTGGACCATTCATTAGTTGCACTCTTTCATTTTGTTTTTTAGATTAGCTTTTACCTTTGTTTTTACCTCCGATAATTCAAACCCAAAGTTTAGAGAACTGTAGAAAATAACACTGATGAATCATGTTAGGACATTGAAGGCATGTTTTGGTTAAAGAAAAAAACACAAAGACCTGTGTCTGAAGTTCAGCCAGTCATAACTCCTGTGGTCCCTTTCCCTTTGTGGCAGGTACTTAGGTATGCCAGACCACGCTCCTGGACTAAAGGAAAATAAAAATCAAGCCAGTTCATTACATTTGCCGGTAACACGTAGCCTGGCTCTTCTGCTGATACTGTTCATTTTTTACTTTTAACCTTGTAACTTAACGTCCTTTAGACTACTCTGTTCACCATCTTCTTAGAGTGATCTCAAAGGGAGATACTTGAACTAGTCCGTGACTTTACTCTAGCTTGGTTTCCCCCTTAGTTTGGGATAGGCTGGGGAAGCTAAAGGTCCAGTCTTATTCTGTCCTCTGTTACCACCTAGTGAAGTTGGCCTTAGTAAAGCATTCAGGTTGCAATTTTCACACAACTAAATCCATACTTGAAACTCTGTTTCTCTTCCAGTCATACAATACCTTTTGCCTTTTCCTAATTACCACATTGAAAACAATGAAGGAAAACTTCAATCAAGTCTAGATTTTATGCATTAAGTATAAATAGTAACATTTAAATATTACATACATCAGGGACCACTTTGCCTCAAGAAATTCTCAGACTGTCTCCTTGGTTCAAAACGAGTTCACCTTTTCCTTCCTGCCCATGTACAGTACTAGACAGTGGTCATGTTGTCTGAACCTGTGTCGGGGCCACACTTGAAGACAGCTGAGACTAATTTTTCCATTTAATTGCTGCCAATTGCTAGAAGACCTGAAGCCCTTGAAACTGCTATTTATAGAAAATGTTAGTGCAGAGAAGTTTATGATAGCCTTAGGAAATACTAGGTTTTACCAAATAGAGTGCTTGCCTTCGCTGAGTCCCAAGAAAAGGAAATTTAAAGCCTATGATTCATTTGTTAAGAGGACAGATTTCCTATGAAGTATTTTCAGTACCACAAGATGCAAACAAAACTCCAGGCACTTCCACACAACTGTGTGCAACAAAGCATGTGTGTTTTTCGCTGCCTTGGCAGATGCGTGCCTTATATGCAGGGAAGAGCCTCCACAGGGCCTGCACTTAGAAGACCGCGTGTGGCTAATGTGCCCATACCTTCAAGTTGGACAGCAAGAGCAATGGGACCTCATTGGTGAGCAGCTGCCGCCACCTCATGTGGACACTGAGGGTGTGTAGGCTGCTGTCTCTGCCTTAGGTGGTCCCTTGTCTTTCTCTCTGCCTGGCTGAAACAATTGCACGTGCTTTATAGATGGGAATTTGGAACTACCTCCAGCCAGGGACATTAGTTACCTAAGGTGAGCTCTTGAACCATCTGAAGCCTGCTGGGCCCAAGGTTGAGCTGCTCTTTGCAGTATTTAGGAAATGTTTACAAGACCAAGTCACCTCAAAACACCACACCAAAAATGTTGTGGCAAACAGTGTGTCCCAACTTACCTCAGGGTAGCATGAGATGCTTAGAACGTGGGGACCGAGTTGGGCTGGTGGCCCCTGGAAGAATGAAGTGGTGCTTGGTTATGCTGGGGCTTCAGACATACTTGCTGTTCATTCATGTGATTGTTTTTATACTCATAAAAGGTCGGTGACAAAAGAAATGCTAAGTGAGAATACTGTTCCACAGGTTAAATTAGACAAGCCACTGACTATAAACTGCAGTGTTGAAGGTTTTTAAGGGAATTCTTCACTTGAAAGGCCTTTGGGGTATGTGGTTTTAGTCATCACTGTTGCAGTTACATTATTAGAATCAGCTTTTGCTCTTAACTTCTTTTTTTGGAAGTGAGTACAGCAGAGCAAATCTCATTTGCATTATTGAGGCAAAAGTTAAAGTCTTGACAGAAATGCAGTGTTTAAAATGAATTTCCAAATACAAAGGCTTTACTTTGGAGCTGCTATTTCCAGTGTGTGTTTTAATTAGAATCTATGTAAGCCAAACAAATCAAAACAGTATAGTGAGGGAAATCTAACTTGTTTTAACTAGCAAGTTTCTTATAAACTGTTAATGCAAGTGTTACCACAGAGAAGCAGAATTGGTGTTTTCACTCAAAGGCCCAGGGTGAGTTGCTGTCTGTAAGGTCTTTGTTTTCTGCATCAGAGCCTGCTAGGTCCTCAGCCAGTGGACCTGGGCAGAAGATAGTCTTCCATTGTGAACTGGAGTGCCAGCCTCGTGCTCTTCAAGGGCTCAGCCATCCTGCTGTGTCAAAACCACTGCTCAGCAGTGTCTCCTGCTTCCCTGAAGCAGCAGCTCGGACAACCTGGATTGGACTCTGAGAGGAACTCAGATCTGCTCGTACTGAGGGGATCAGGACCAGTGGCAGAGGGAAGAGAGAACCCGGCACGTGCCATCCTTTCTTTGCTCACACTGGTGTTAGGTTGGGGAGATCTGGGGACAGTCTCTAATGAGCTGCCGAACTGCGAAGTTCTCTGAGAGCACAGTGTGGTCTGCTGGGGCTTTAGGATGAGAGTCCCTTTATTTGCTTAAGTTTTATAATCCCCTTATCAAAATATAACCTCACTCTGAATTGAAGATGAACAGTAGGACTAGAATTTGGGCCCACACAGTTATTCCAGTAAGATCTTGAAATTGTTTCCATTTGTTTATTAGAAAGTCACAGAAATGGAAAAATAAATCTTTCTACTATCATGCTCAATTCACTTATTCTCATTGTTTGGTAGGTTTGCGGGCTTTATGCATACATGTGTCATCTAGAATCCATACACTTAGAGTATAGATAAAGTACTCTCCTCTCAGTGTAGGTCATAGACATCTTCTGAAGGCCTCCACTGTCAGGCAGTCTTCAACATTTGGTACCAGGCCTGTTTAGCTTGCTGTGTGACAGCCATCCAAACCCCCAGTGAGGTCAGATGTTCTCAGGACCAGTTCTGAATGCCCCGGGTTAGAACTCAGAATTGAGAAGTCTGTGCTATGCTCTGTCTAGGTTTACAGGACACTAGGAAATCCTTTTTAAAAGTCAGCAACCAGACCGTGAGATAGGGACTGCAGGCGTTCACTGCCAGGCTTGACCATTGAACTTGCCATCCCTTGGTGGATGGAGAGAACTGACTCAGCCAGTTGTCCTCACCACACACCAGCTGTGGCACATGTACACATATGCTGTGCGTGCACACACATACAAATATTTTCCTTGAGTCAGTAACTAGAGCATGATCAGCACTATCCTTTGGCCTGGGGTGTAGCCCAAGGAAGAACTCTTCCCTGGGTCCCATCTCCAACTCACAAAAAAAAAGGTATTTTTCTGAGACTGGTCATACATCAGTTTCCTGTTCGTTGTACGTCGTAGCTGAAAGGTGAACAAACACAACCCCAGGGGACAGGTATTTATCACTGATTATTTTTAATGATGTGCTATGATTTGACCATGGCATCAAGAACAAGCAGAAAACCTGATTTCATAACTAACAAACAGCACTTGTGCAACATCCGTCATCAAAAGTATTGCAATCACAGACCTGAGGCCTAAACTGTATCATCACCCGGGCAACAGACGCAGGTGGATAACAGTTGTGAATCATTCCCGTACCTGACCAGGAATATGTTAAAGAATAAGCATGTTTTTGTTTAAACACAAAAGGACTTTGACTTCTAATTATAATAGCTCACAAAGATTGGAAGATGCAAATACAGCTGTACTTTTTTTAGTAGATTGCTTTATAATAAAAAATTAAATTAAATGGTGTGGGTAGTTTTGTATATATTTTAAAACACCTTTAAACTCAACAAGGATATTAGTTGAAATTGTGATTTTTTTTTTTTTTTTTTTTTGAAAGGCAAGCACATCAGAAAGAACCAGCATCATTGAGAGGGATGCTCAGGCAGGGTCGGATCTGCAGAAAGGAGTCTGGTTGATCACACATCTTACTACTGAGTCCAGAACATTCTGATGCTCAGTAGAGTGCCTGTTTTCTGACAGTGATTGACCTCAGGTCTTGACCCTCAGGGATCCTGAGGGTGTGCCCTGCAGTAGACAGAGACAGTAACTTGGACTTGGGTGAGACTTAGGAGGTACCCACTGTCATTTTTGCCCAGCTCTTGCAGGGAGGTGTTAAAGAGAACTGAATTGGCATTAAGAGTTGCACATTAAGAATAAGTAATAGCTTGGAGCATTTTTTTCCCTGATTGGGGGATAATTCTGTTTCTGACTTTCAAAGTCAGAGCATATACCACAGAACAAATAAAAAGCCTGGAATTACTCAAATATCATCTGGTGGCATATTGGATTAGATTGGAAGGCAGCATTCCATGGATTGCCTTTATGGATCGCACTTTGTATCCATGGTGGTTTTTATGGACACCAAGGTTTCTTTGCTTGAGGGGTGGAGGGCAGGGGGAGGACAAAGGAAGAAACGTAAAAATACCAAAGCCACAACTGGACACTAAAGACTAAACAGGAGCTGGAAGAGAGAAGTGTGACTTTACTTATAGCCTGACATGTAACCTAACTGATGGTAAAACCTAGTTGCTTTAGGGGTCAGGACTACCCCAGAACACAATAGGAATAGACTTGAGTCTGTACTTGGCTGATTGACCGTTCTCTAATGACAATCCCAAACATTTTCCCTACCCTAATCTTTTAGGATCTCTTTTCTGAGGCACTCTCCCTACAAATTCCAGACAGTTCATTGGCTCCATAGCTTCCATTTATAAGACAAGGCACAGAGAACATGGGACACAAATGGTCACAAGTGCCCTCTGACACTGAATAGCCTCTGCTGCAGGTTACTCATTTGCCTGACGTCATGCATGTCTTCAAAGGTTTGCACATCCCACTGAGGCCTGACAACTGATACTACAGCGAGAGGGAAGGCCTGCATACAGAGCAAGCTGAAAAGCAACCTTCCCCCCACCCCCGCCTAAAATATAACTAAACTGGTCTAACTAGTTCTAAAGAGATTAAAATAAAAACATCTTAGAAATCGATAAAGTGTTTCCGAGCAAAGGTGCAACTCAGTTCCTATGTATGTGCTGGTCATCAACTGCTGCCTGCTTGTTCAGACTTCATCCCATGGTGTTAATATATTTAATAGGAAAATAAACTACATAGACTTTATCTGTATGTAATCATTTGCAAGTTTCCTTACAAAAGATGGAGTATGTAGGCATTCAAAAGTTCTATGCCATTTCTAGTAAAACTGGTGTCTATACAGTATATTACAGTATCAATTTCTTATTCTACCCATTGGGTAGAGTATGTGCATATTATGTTCAGTGTATATACAGCACCTTACAAATGAAAGCAAACAGTTGAAGAAGCACCATTTCAAGTGAGGCACAACGAAGGTGAGCACTGCACGCTGGGGCTGGGGTCCTACATCTGACATCTGAACACAAGGCACCTCAGCTGCTTCGAGATGGACTTGGGTATGTGCAACCGCATCATCTGTCTAGGCTAGCCTTGTCTTGTTACGCTGTCCGGCAAACCTAGGGATGAAGATGGGGTATGGGGAGAAATCCCTTGCTCAGCAAGATGGCCCTGTGCTCCGACATCAACCTGTGCTACATCCAGCTATCAAATGACATCTTTATTTCTAAAACCTATGGACTATGGGAGACTGAGAATGCTATTGTGATTTGTCCACATCTCCAAGCACTGTCATCAGCTCCTGACAGCCACACAACAGGGTTTGTTGGAATCAGTACAGTCTAAGGAAGCCATGAAATTGCTTGGCACTTTAGGGCACAAGCAAGTCTGGATGGGTGACTGACATGAGAGAAAAGGTAACAGCAAGTATCCTTCTCAGTTGCTCCCGTCAACCTGACTGCTGAGATTTTTAGGGGGTATAGAGCTGCCACTCTAAGTAGCAAAACTCTGGAAACATCCACAGCATGCACATTGTCCAGGAATAGCCATGATCTACAACAGTGTTGGCAAAACACAATGGAGGCCACATGGGCTACCTCAATAATATAGCTTGAGGGCATCTTAAAAGGACTACCCCACGAGTCATTCTAAAAAAGAACAGTTGGATAAGATGGAAAACCTACACCTATGAGAAAGGCAGGTATATGAATAGATTCTTCTAGATCAAAGCAGCTTTCTAGAAGTACTTCCTTTTGGTCCCAGTAAAATAAAGATGAAGATCAAATGGAGCTACTTAGAATTTAAATATATATATTTAATACTCTTTTTGTACCCAATTCCCATGTTTGTATGAAGAGGCATCCATCCCATTTGGCTCCTTGGCTCTTGAGTTTGAGCTAAAAATTACTAAGGAAAAATTTAATTCTCACAATATACTTGTTTTAGTCACTGCCATGTCATGATCTCTCATGGGTTAGGTCTGTGTCTGTGGTGGTGAAGGCATGGGGCGGCATGCTTTATCAGTAAACATAATTGGATGAGTAGCTGGCTTCACAATCTCTTGTATTAAATATTGCTTTAGTGTTTGCTTATGGAGTTTCTGAAAAAGCAAATGCAGGCCAAAAAACAATTCCAGTAGGCCTTATGTTTCATATTCTTGGAAGTCCATGAGACAACAGATAAGTCAGAGTGGCCTGCCCAGGACTGCTCCTTCTAACAATGCAAATCTTTACTGCAGTGCCCCATGGGAATAATCTATCATTGCCTAAACTCACTGCTTTCTAAACTGAACCCCCAGGAGGGTCTAAGCACCCAGCTTTTTGAAAGACAACAGCCCCTGCTGTGTAAGCCCCGTCCTCACAGCTGCTACTTAGTCAGTACCTTAGAGCCAAGAGACAGCATGGCATGGACTGTCAGCTAGAAGGCTGCTATCTAAATCTCCTCCTGACCTTGGCTTTGGCTTTTAAACTAATTCCTTAAAGAGACCCAGCCTCAAAGACTTCAAAGTCACAGTTGGGGGTGTGTGTGTGTGTGTGTGTGTGTGTGAGAGAGAGAGAGAGAGAGAGAGAGAGAGAGAGAGAGAGAGAAAAGGCAGTCCTCTAGGGTACCCAATGTTTTGCCAATACTGTTGGCATCTACAAAATGTCCATATGCTTGCCAAGCTCCGAAGGAATTTACAAATCTCTGATCTTAGCTCTTTCTCACAGCTGACAGAAAAGTAAGACTAAAGTAAGGACTGAGAAGCCATTTGGAGTGGACACCAGCTTCACCAAAACTATAGTTAGGATTTGGAATGACAGAGCCATAACCTCACCTTCCCTGGCAGTCAACCATGACAAGTTCCCTACTGGTGAGATCCCAGGGAGGACACATACCTCCTTCCTCTGCCATTGTATCTCAGAGCCCCATTCAAGCAGTCTGAAGCATAGGTGACCAGGAGGCAGAAACTTTTCAGGAAGCCTCAAGGAAATGGGAAAGGTCATCTTTGGCCCAGCTAACCTGTAGCCTGAGAGGCCACTGAATATCACCAGACAAGACAGAAAAGCAACTCCAGAGTCCCAGAGACCCTCACGTGTACATCCTTCCAAGCAGTGTTGAAGCGTGGGCTGATAGCTGTTCCCTATCTGTCCTCACTCCTTTTGACTGAGTATTCCTGTAGGTGCTACTGTGGGAAGTGGACAAATCCCATGGAGATGTCACGTCTCCAACCAAGCCAGTCAGTGGCCTGCCTACTGAGACGAGCAGAAATGGGAAGCCTGGGGCCAGACACAACTTGGGGCTTCAAACAATCTCTAGTCCTCAGGTAAGAGAATAGTGACTTCACATACTCCCCTCCGGAAACAGGAACGCACACATGCACACAGCACTCACGCACACTGATTTGGTGTCCAACTGCCACTGACTCCCCATTCCTGTTCTTTCTGTTAGGTGCAGAGGCCAGAGCACCAGGCAGAGACCCTGCCCCACTGCACATGAGCCCGCCCTGGTGCAGTTACAGGGCCAGCTCTCCTATCTGCGGAAGAAAGTCACTGGGGCTTTTTGTTGTATGCAAGAATGTTTAGAAATAGTAGAAATAGTAAACTGACTTCAAAAACTGAGAAGCCATTGTCCAGCTGCAACTTTGCCATGCCTTGTCCTGAGTCACACCCTCACCCACCACCTCTGTGTTCCAGCTGGCCACAGTTCAAAGACGAACTAGACAGAAGGGAGTCTGTGGCATGAATGTGGGTAGGTCTGCACCGGATTCCTCTACCATGCAACACTGGTGATACGTAATGGCTTATTATGCCAAATGTGTCCCTCTGTCAGGTCCAGGGGGATGATAGTAAGCATAAGGAACCATCACCAGGATGGCACTTAGAAAACCAAGTGGGCTTTGGGAGCAACTGCTGGTGCCAGGTGCTGAACAGAAGATCCTTGCAGAACTCAACAGAGCTGCCTAGGACGGGAGAGGCCACGGGACTCACTGTGCTACACAGTTCAGCAGTACACAAAATAACCATCTTGCATTTTAAACAATTTATTGCATAAAATAAGGTATGTATCTGAATATATTTCATGCTACAGTGAAAAAAAGTCTAAGTTGCTCTGGCGCTGCTGGGGACAAGGCTGGCTCTGCGTGACACTTGACACACAATGCAGGCGTTTCTTTTCACCAGCCTCTCCAAAGGACTCTAGTAGTGCACTGCATCTGGCTGCAACTTCTTGCAACACACCACTTCTTAAATGTATATAACTTGGTGAACGCCAGGGCACATCCCCAAATACCTTTCGTGTATGACGACTCTGTGGACTCTCAAGGGTGTTCCTGGGGCGTAATAGCCATCCATAGGTGACAACATACAGAACTTCACACAACACAGTTCCCTCATCCGTATTTTAAACATCAAGATAGTGCAACTCTTAAAGCATACCATCACAACACAAATTAGTTCCTCTCGCTCCTCTATCCGCTTCATACCTTGGCACACAAAACAGGAGTTTTGACTCATATTTTTAAAACAAAATAAAAGTTTCACACCTTTGGAGAAAAAGCAAACTGGCTGATTCTTCCCCATGATAATATATAATAATTCTTCCTTCTTTATTCAGTTAATTATAAAAACAGGCCATTCTGGCCTCCTTTATCCGCAGTCTCCTTTTGGAATTAAATATGTCAAAAATACCTCTGTGGGTCTTACTTTCATGAAGTCTTCAAAGCATCCTCGGTTTGCTCTGCACGCCCTTTGCCAAGCTCACACCATCTCTAACCCTGACTCCACCCCTGCCCCCAGATGAACACTGTTTGTGGTCAAACCGGATGGAAGTTCGTATTGTTCCAGTCTTGTTTGCATGCAATTCCCGGGACAGGAATCAGAAACGAAGACCGTGTTTGCACATTTGGTTTTACTCAGCTGTACGACGTAAAGCTGGACAACACTGTGGCAGAGGGGCCGGTGGCCTCGCTCTCCCTGCCGAGGTTGCTCTCTCCTTGCAAAGTGCACCCTGAAGGGAATCAGACCAGGTTCCCAGGCTTCCTGTCTTTGCCCTTGATGGGTACTATTGTGCCCTCTGAGTTGTTCGGCTGAAACTGTGGTCTGCTGCCCCTGTGTGCGTTGCTATGCTGGTGGTGGGAGAATGAGGTACCTGGGTAGTGACCCATCACCTCGCTGTATGTCGGGGGCGGCCCCTCCATCCTCCCGTTACTGCTACAAGTAGCTGCACTGATGCCCGAGTGGCTGCTTGGTGGGCATGGTCCCCCGTTGTACATAGAAATGTCTATCAAGTCACTGTCGAACACGGTTCGGTTGGGCGGGGCCCTCACGGACTCTCGGTTGAGTTCCATCTGTTGCTCTGGGTCCCGGAGCTGGAGGGTGCAGGGTCCCTGGTAAGGAGGCGGCTCTTCCCCGTCTGACAGGGAGATGGTGGGAGGCAAGTCAATCTCGTGCTGTACGTAGGGGTAGGTGGGCTGGAAGCGACTGAACGGATCCCGCTGGATGAAGGATGGGGTAGTAAACCTATCCCTGCCCCGTGGGGCACACATGATCTGGAAGGAAAAGAGAAGAGGCCTGAGGACATTCTCAGTGCAACAGTGACCCACAGTGGGACAGGCTCAGGGAAGCTCAAGCTTGTTCTGTGTTCACACCAGTTTTCACACCATCTCTCACGCCATTTCCCATGCAAAACAGGAAAAAACTTGTCCGGAATCGGTGTGTGTGTGTGTGTGTGTGTGTGTGTGTGTGTGTGTGTGTGTTTTGCTTTGTTTTTAAAAGAGGGGGTGGGGTTAAACCTAATGAGTATTAGTGTGTCTGGGGAGGCTAAACTTCAGTGGGGGAACCGGACCTAACTGAAAACTTGGATGTAATAGAGTTATCTGGGCAGGCCACAAGGATTCAAATGGGACCTCATGGAGTAGAGAACAGGGGACAGGGATGGGCAAGAAGCATGGTACAGTGGTGCGGTGCTCTGGGAACCCGGTCACAGGTAATCTCATCCAAGCCTCGGTGGCTTTACTTATAAAATAGACAAGCCTCCTACTTTTCTTGGGACGGGACAGCTCTGGAACCCATGGTTAAGCAAAGTAGCAGGGGTCCCTGAGGTTACTTCTGTAAATAAATAAATCAGAAAAGCGACTTTCTTTTGGATTTCTAGACTTCTACAGTTATTGCAATAAACATTGACTACAGTTATTTTTAGTTATTAATGTGAAAAAATTACATTTCAAAGTAAATGATTGTAGATTTTTTTCCCCAAAAACTAACTCAAAGCATGTATTTCTTTAAAGCCCCTCTCTTGGGGTCTTCTCAGTAAAATGGTAGAGTACAGGCTGCCTCTGTACTGAGCTGGTGGAAGAGAAAGTCAGTATGAGGGAAAATAGGCATTATTGAAAAGACAGAAAACCCTTCAGAAATCCATAGAGATGTCAAAAGAGGGGGTTAAAAACAACACAGAGAAGTGGGCTAAACAGAGCCTCGGCCACTCAGTTCCCTGGCTGCCAGAGGAGAGAAGTAGAGATTTATTTTCAAAAGGTGAGCAGGAGAAAGACCGGGGCGCCCTACCCTCAGGACGACCCCTCCGCCCTCCAGTCACAGGTCTTGATGAGCCAGCGACTCCTTAAGTGGTCAGATCATCAGCAGAGAAAAAGCCATTCTGTCACCCTTTATGACGCAGAGGGCAGCTCTGGGCACCACACTGAGATAGGATCTATTGTCAAAAAATGAGCTAGCCAAGGAACAGCTGCAGGTCAGTCAGTGACCCTCAGTTTGGCCCGACACAGGCCCTGGATGAGGGAAGACAGAGAAGCAGCTGTGGACTGCAGGATGGGTAGATACTGACAGGCCAAAGGGAAGGGGGTGGCCACGTGAGGTTTGGCTCATGCCAGCAAGTATATAGCAAGAGATCATCTCTCCCTGGGTGGCCTGAGACAGATGTCTTGGATTGAAAACAACCTTGGAATTGAATAGTTCTGAGCACGAACGAGGCCAGTCAATGGATGCAATTCTGGAGCCAACTATCTGCCCTTTGCTGCTAGAAAGTCAGAGAACTCTGAAGTTCCAGGGGTGTAGTTGACCATACAAGTGGCAGTCCTCCAGCAGGGTGATGAGTAGGAGATTTTGAGCGCGGAAAGATAGGTCCCCCATCTGCACCAACCTCAGTACTGTTGCCCACTTTCCTCACTTTCAAAGTACTTGGGGGACAGCCACCAGCTAAAACATTAGCCACCCCAGGATTATGACCAGGGAGTCTCAGGAGGGCGGTACAACCTGCCCAGCCCAGCACTGCAGAGCCAAGTATAGTCACCGGAGACTCCCGGCCAGTAAAGGAAAACTGCCAAGATACCAGCTCTGTCAACACCATACACTCGTTCCGTAGAGACTCGGTAACGGGAGACACAAGTCCACAAGGGGGACAGCCCCCCACCCCCTGCATTTAACTGGCAGGCTCTAGTTCCCAAGGGCCCAGAAACATGACCCAACACCACATCTTTTTCCACCTTTGGGATTCCATTTATAAGTAAAAAACTATACACTATATTTGTTTGTGTGAGGGGGTCCGTGGCCCTCAACACGTGTGTTAACAGTCAGAGAACAATCTATAGGAGTTTGTTCTCTCCTTGAACCATGTGCATTCTGGGATCAGGCTTGACAGCAGGCATCTTCCCCACTGTGCCGTCTCACTAACCCATGCTTCCTTTTTATTACACACATAGCAGGGCTTTCATTTGTACTGTATTTTAAAAATGTTTTATGTTTTAATTATTCCCCTTCATACACTCAACTATTTTTTTTTTTTTTGGTTTTTTGTTTTGTTTTGTTTTTCAAGACAGGGTTTCTCTGTGTAGCTTTGCGCCTTTCCTGGAACACACTCTGTAGACCAGGCTGTCCTCGAACTCACAGAGATCCTGCCTCTGCCTCCCAAGTGCTGGGATTAAAGACGTGCGCTACCACCACCACACCTAGCTTATATATGGTCTTCTTGGTGATATATTTGTGAGCTGGCTGTCACTGATGTTAAGTGTATTTCCATATCATGGATGGCATGTTGTTACTGCTGTTACAAGAGTTTTATTTTTGTGCATGATGCTGGGGATTGAGCTCTCAAGAATAGGTTGCTTGATAAGACAATACCCCCACAATAGGAGTGATATCCAAACCAACAGATGTGCATACTGCAACAAAGAAACAAAAACATGAAAAGGCAAGGCTGCATGATTCCACAGCAGATTATAATTCATCAACTGCTGAACTCAAGAATGTGGAAATAGGTAAAATGCCAGATGAAGATTTCAAGTTTTTTTCTGGTAAGAGAGACTATAAACAAGAAGATAATTCATGCCAGAACCTGGAGAGGAAAGTCAGCAACAGAGAGGAAAAAGTCAGTAAAGTAGACAAGAAGAAGAAGAA